CATCCCTGACGGACACCGCTTTGTGTACGGGAGCTTCTGGACCATTGTCTGATTAAAGACGGACTTATGAACCTGTACCTAAACGTGGGGACGAGATGGCTCAAGTGGTTAGAGCGCGAATTTACTGACCAGGAGGTCCGTGGTTCGAACCCGACCTCTGCCTCTCGACTTCCCCTGTCTAGGCTTAGGCAACCTGGCAGTATCCCGGCCCTCGTGCTTCCTTCAGGTAGCATGGCAGCTAGGCACCGGAAGGGTGTTATAGCTGGACGATCCGTACCTAAACGTGGTTTCGTAAACAAACGTTTATGAACGATATGATTGCTAAACAGGTGGTGTACACATCATGATATTTGTTTCTTTTGCTTTATCTGTCAGCTCCAGGAACAACAATGCAACATTGCGGAAGACGCTTTGTTACGTTTCTGGAAGATTCGCCAAGTCTTAAACCCACGTTACCCTTTGAAAGCCTTTAGGACGGAATGTTCAGTTACTACTTGGTGCACGATCTATCCTTATCTGCATCCGTTTACAGAATTTGTGAGTATATCACCGGTACGAATTCAAAGGAATTCAAAGCAGTGAGTGCCTCTGCTTCGTTGGACAGTAGCTCTCACGTCATTACACAACCACAGTGGAGAGTCAACATCACAACAGGTAGAAACATGTATATATTCGTAATGTACTACTCATACGGTTGCTGAAAATCCATCGACAACCCACGACCGGTTTCGCCCTTTTTTGGGGCTCATCAGGTAAATATACATGTATCGCGATATCTCGAATATCGTAGCGACTGAAACATGAGGCGGCCTGGTGCAGCACATTCAGTTGCCTGAGAACCTCACAAACGAGAGATTCAGTTGGGTTCCAGGTGAGTCTCTCGAAAAAAACAAATTAGTTTGCAAATAAGTGTATATTCGCTAAGGTAGAAACATGGTTCCGATTTGGGAAATGAGCACTCTAAAAGTGCCGTAATTTATGGGTTGTCATCGTCTTTTCATCACAAAAGTCGGGCCACTTTCAACCGTAGTGTTAGGAGGGGAGAACGAGGGCACGTTGAGCTATCCTTAAGCACCTAGGCCGATCAACAGCCTACGTCAACGAGAAACCCATACTGTTGAGTCGCAAGGTGTGCTTCTTGTTGGACTAAAGATGTCTAACTTCACAGGTCCGTGGCTCGAACCCGACCTCTGCCTCTCGACTTCCTCTGTCTAGGCATGGGCAACCTGGCTTCCTTTGGGTGGCATGGCAGCTACGCGCCGAAAGGATGACAGTCGAAGGATTTATTTTTTCATTATTTTAACTTCACAGAAGCCCTATATCAAAGGGTCGTGTTCAAAGAGTAGTGAATCCCCAAAATCCCGACAGGTGGTATAAACTAGGCCAGGTAGTCACAAGATCCACTTTCCCAGGAGAAGCTGGTCCAGTACCACGTGGATGAGTCATATTCATGATCGTTATCGGCTGTGGGAACCGTGTACTTGTCGTACAGTGGTTGTAGCTGCCACAATATCGTCTATCGATGATTTGGGGACGTAAGGTAGGTAGCTGCGCATTGGACTAATTGGTGCGTAAGTCCGGGTCTATTAATGGACTTTTGAGCGGGGGGAGGTTGAAGGGAGCTATGCAGTGAAGAGGTAAGAGCTTGGATGCACGAGCGCCATTGAGGGCACGAGTGGCCCATCTCGGTGTCCCCATCCAGGAAGACGGCAATGAGCAGCGCGGCTGAGTTTGCTGGTATCAGCTTTCACACTTCGCTATTCCAGGAGAGAAAAAATGAGCAGGACAGACATACAGAAAACGCTTTGTCATTCATTCATACGATAGGTGATGAATATGCGAAACTTACATGGAACAAGGAAAAAGAAAGTTAGGATGCCCACGGCACAAATCATCAGGCCGGGAACTACAAACGACCATCCCCACTGCGTTGTAACAAATACTCCAGCGATTAGCGAACCCAAAATGTTGCCCAGACTTGCGTGAGACGTCCACACGCCCATAAAGAAACCGCGCCTGATGGAAGGGAGAAATGTAATCGGCAAGTGATTCCAAGCAAGCGAGGTCAGACTGGGTTAAAAAGTACCGCACCTTACCCTTGCTGATAGCTAGCTATGCCGAACCATTCATGAACTAGGGTTTAGGTTAGCCGAACTTCCAACAAAATTAGCAAAGTCGCTCGAAAAAAACATAAGAACCATTGCGAAAGAGACATCGTACCTAAAGGGGAAATCTGAACAACAGGCCTCCAGTTGATTCGGAATAAGCTACAATACATGGTACTCGGTTCAAAAGAACAAAAAAACGGTGGGACCCCCATAGCGTTGGCGAATTGCATCCACTTTTCCTGCAATCAACGGTAGGCCCAAAATACGTGGATAAAACGAAGATATGATCGCAAAGTATGTCCATAAGTGCGTTTAAAACAGGCCGCGTGACAGTGTGCATGTGACCATTTGTGTACCAACGGCAATCATTCTAAAGTTCTTCAAAACTAATCGATTTGTGTGTTAGGGGAAGATAGATTTCAATTAGAGTAAACTAACTTGGCGAGAGTCTGTTGTAACAGACACAAGAGGACAAATAACTCAGTCTTGGGTGACGCGAAAACAAGGTTGGTAGCACCACAGGACGTATTGTCACAGTTTCCTCACTCCGACAAATTAAGAGGAATAACTAAAATCATAGGGAAGCTGCACGATTCCAAGTTTGAGAACAGAAGCGTGAGAAAACGCACAGCCAGGAGATCACAGACATTCCAATATTAACAAACACGTGATTGTAGAACAATCCACGAGAAGACCGCTGCAGAACGGGAAAAGCCCTTGCATTGCAAAGCTCACTATGCTGATCAGTTAGCATGAAGCGCAATCGGGATGTCCGACTAGCTAAATAAAATAATAAACGTTCAGCCGTAGCGCCCTTTTGGTGCCTAGCTGCCATGCCACCCGAAGGAAGCACGAGGGCTGGGATACTGTCAGGTTGCCCAAGCCTAGACAGGGGAAGTCGAGAGGCAGAGGTCGGGTTCGAACCATGGACCTTCAGGTCAGTAAATTCGCGCCCTAACCACTTGAGCCATTTCGCCCCGACTAGCTGTCGTTCGACTAGCTAGCGTATTCCCAACCAAAATAAAACGCCTGTACAGCACTTACCAGAGTTCTAGCACGGAGGAGAGGAAATAATGAAAGCCCCTACTGACTGCCAGTTATTGCCAGTAACAAAGAGTTCAGGCTACTTGGGTTTCGCTCACTGATGTAGGCGGATGAGAATATGTGCCTGAACCGAAAACAAGGTGGTTAAAAACTTCGTGAATTTATACTCGTCCTTTTGCGTATGGATGCTTTTCGGGGTTTCCTCATGAGCCAAATACGACCTGATGGCAACTGTTCGCGACCGGGACTCTTCACGGTGCCGACAAGCTCAAATGGTGGTTATTCGCTGTTGGTTACGGATGTACAAACCGCATATCCAGTTGGAGAATGTAAGGGAAAAGTTATCTGAGTGGAACAGTAATAGGCTAGACGACTGCGCCATCTCTCTGACTGATGACTGAAGGTGACGTTTATCCCTTGCTGTCACGTCATGCATTGTTCTTCTAACAGAGCAAAGACTGCGGCATTAGTGGCCCTTGTACGCGGGCCATGAAGTAGTGATCAGCTTAGTCCATTCCGCTTCGTGTGGGTAAATAACAATCGTTCAGCTGTGGCATCCTTTCGGTGCCTAGCTGCCACGCCATCTGAGGGAAGCAAGAGTGCTATGATACTGTCAAGGTGTCCAAGCCTAGACACGGGCAGTAGAGAGTCACAGACTTCCCCACCAATAGCTTCGTGCTCTAAACACTGAGCTGTCTCGTGTGACTGACTTGCGTGTGGATACGCCCAGTGTAACGTCTGTTGACTGGTCCACACCACTATTGTCGTAGGTGATGTACTGTCTGTCAGGTTTCGTCACTCGTTCCCATACACGTGATTTCCGTCCGTCATTCGCTCTCCGGTAGTTAACAAGTTGGTCATTCAGCGGCGCAACTGGATCTTCAGCCAGATAAGAAAGGCTCACCCATTTTGGTGAAGCGCAGTGACCATGTGATTTGCATCATGCAGGTTAAGCAGAACTACTGGTCCAAACATTGTCTTGAATTTAGGAAAGTATGTATTCCGGAAATGGACGTAAATTCAGTCCAGTCTGGATATCTGAGTTCGCTCAAAGCGAGCAACTGCGTCTGTAATTATTCCGCGTCTAAACATTCGGCGATACAAAAAACGACGTTAACCGTTCCTCTACACTGGTTTAAAGACGTGATCGACGAATACGGCAAAGTTTAAAAAACATGTGTGAACAGGTGGTTTGAAACAGCCCTCGACTCACCGAGATTTACCGAACCAATTGCCCATACAGGCGACCACGGCAGGCCAGCCAGTGGCCTGTAAGATACCGCCGAGTAACTATAGTGTTGAGAGTAGAGTGGGAGATGGGCGATTAATGGAGGCAGCACGTGAGCACCAGGTTTTACATCAAATCCAAACAGGCCACCTCATAACATGGGTGTAAAAAGGTGGCTGAGGGTAACACTATCGCTAGATGGATTAATCACTGACCTGAACAATCAAGTAGAAAGCGTACGAATGAATGTTGAGGAAGAAGCCAAGACCAAAAGCAATGGTTGCCAAACCAGTGAGCACCGAACCGACCGTCAGGAAGTGTCTCAAGTGGAAATGATCTGCCACATGGCCACTAAAGAGAAAAACGAAGGGAAAGTGGGGGAGAATAGGCTGCTTGTGGACGAACAGTGACACGAAGTGCGTTGCAATCTGACTAATGTGAAACTAGCAATAAAATTCCAGAAAACAGCCCTTCACAGTAGATAATGATGAAATGAATTGAGAGATTTTCCCCAAACCGCCGTTGGGTCTTGGTTAACATTCATAGCGCAGACAATAAGGTTCTTAAAATCGTTCCGACAACCATCGCTAGTAAGCGGTTGTGTGCAGTAAGAGAAGTCGACACGAAATAGCCGTCCGAGAGCATTTTATGACATGCAAGTTGCCAATTTCAGATAATGTTCCTAGTTTTTGTCAGGGGCCAGTTTGGTGTCACTACGAATAAGTTTACTAGTGCACGCCACTAATTAGTAGAGAAGGTGCAGATGTCAATGGTATTTCACACAACTGACACGAATTTCAGAATAACAGCATAATTTAGTGGGGGTGGTCACGGAAAACTTGGTTGTTGTTTAATCAACTTGCTATTGAATATAGCATATATTATGCAAACAGCTGTAAACAGTATGAAAACAGCTGTAACAACCTTTCAGTGTCCAGTTGCCATGCCATCAAAAGTAAACATGAAGGCAGAGAAACTACCAGCCTACACAGGAACAGATCGAAATCACGGATCGTGCGGTCAGTAGGTTCGCGGTTCGAGCTATTTTGAGCTCGAGTTACTACTTGCTGATGTGAAAGCAAGCCTTCCCAGCCGTTACTACCAGAAAGGTAGAAAATCACTCGGTGAGTCAGAGCAGAAATTTGGTGGGGCATAACAACCGTGGTCACTGCGGAGGAGTAGACGCTGTAGAGAGGTGTTCTGTGCGGTAACTGTCAGCTACTCAGAGGTCGAGCTGATTTCCATACTGGGATCACCAAATGACCGGATGTGGGGAATCCAGCAGAGATAATCTTCCGTAAAGGTACCAGTGGAGAGAAGGACAGACCAAACTAACGTAATCGATATCAATTGTAACTGGTTGTTCGCATCAGTGGCTGAACACCCACTTACCTTACGAACATGCTCACGGAATATGCCGACAGAAAGACGAGGTCCAACGTGCCAAATAACGAGTCATAATTGTCCCCATCTAAATAGTGGTAAAACTCAAAAGACCGTCAAACATACCAAAAGGCTTCCAGTCGCAAAATGTCGAATTTTCCGCTACGATAGGTACGTGGGTTTCATCAGCAATCTCCGAACAGTTGGCATGTAGCACTGACTTGACCACGCTAATCGGTTTACGTGAAAGATGGTAGCAGGTGTATATTAAAAAAGTGGCGAGAAAAACAAAAGCTTGTCCTCTGAAAGAACTTTATTGGGTGAAATGTAGAACAAACCCTTGATCTGTCCATGATGGAATGTACCGATTGAGCAGCTTTATGCCCGGGGCCAAACTCGGCATCGGCAACGACTTGTGAGTGCAGCTCACTTGCTAGCGAAATACAATCTGAGACAGCAAGTGGGTAAACTGAAAAAAAAGATTGGAAGGGATGAGTGCCACCTCTAGCACAGTCAAGTGAGCCTGCAAGACAGGGGAAGTTTAATAGTGAAACCATGTCAACTGTTAATCTGGTTGATTTCGTGCCCACGCCACTCTCATCTGAATGACCATTCTTCTGTACCGCAGGACATCCTAGTGTGAACCGCATACCACTGATCATACCGGGATTCCAACACGTCATCTGACACGAAAAGTATGGGAGTTATTCCTATCCCATCAGTCCGTGCTTTTAGTAACCGAGATCGTTCAGCTGTAGCACTCTTTCGGTGCCTAGCTGCCATGCCACACGAAGGAGGCACGAGGGCTGGGCTACTGCCAGGTCGCCCAAGCCTAGAGGGGAGAAGTCGAGGGGCAGAGGTCAGGTTCGAACCACGGACCTTCCGGTCGGTAAATTGGCGCTCTAACCACTTGGTCCATCTCGTACGCGCTTTTGAGCGACGTCGATTCAATAAGTGTCCTGGTTATACAGATAGATCCGTCTTTCAGGAATCTCCGGTCGGGTAACATCAAGGGTATTTTGGACCGGTAAAAAAACGTGTGGTTACCAGTAAGTGATTGCAGGATTTATGGAGTCTGCATCCACATCATCCTTGTCTGAGCAGTCCTCACCCTACGTTGGCATGTGTGACAAATACACGCATAGGGGCGATGTGGTTCCGCTGTGATTTTAGATACCATACATCTGAACACGTAATTGATCCTTCTCAGATAGCACCTCGGTAGAATGGAGTGAATCAGTTATAAACAGTGTGCAGTGCTGCAACAGTCCCAACGACCGTGGAAATTTGTGCGTCTGTGACAGAGAGTGCGGAACAGATGTGACCACGGACTGAAGATGATGGTTAGCATCATTATCATCGACAGCATACCATCAGTGTAAAACACTGATGCATCAGTTCATTGTAACCCCTGCGATAGATTAGGGGTGTAAATGTGTGTTGGAGGTAGCGGTGAATTCATGTTCCGAATCGTTTGTGCACCACCACAGACAGAATTGATCTGATTGTGCGAGTCGTTTTGTTGATTAAGGGTCTTGTGCCTTAGAATAACTTCCGGCTAATTTCGGACTACCTTCACTAAGCACATAACTGCGCGGCAAAAATTCTGCAAGGCAGGTGATGCTTCAGCATGTAAGGCATTTAGAATAAACACCGCAGTGACTAGCTCATCCACGGAGGGTTAGTTGCTCAAAACTATCTGGCGAGCCTAGTTATAACCGAATCGATATTGTTGTCCAATTAGAATGCTTCAGAACTCTAGTGACCACATTATCCGGTTATTTCCATCTAGATCCTGTATTGCTTGGTATGTTATCCCCGATGCCACCGTTAGGCTACTGGGCATACAGTGAAGCAACTTGTGATGGATCCCTCCTGCAGATAAGCCTGACACTGCGTCCATTCACCATTCGTACAGAGACTCCCGAATTGATGATTGGAGCCGCAAATTTTATGGAAATTACTGGGTGTATTTTACCGAAGCCCGGTACCTAGTGGAAAGAAACGGATGAGGTTCGAGCTACACGTGATTCCACTGATTAAAACAAAACCCGGGCATGTATCAAACACATACCGAGACACATTGTGGCCTAAAGGATGTTTTGCAGGTTCACCCGAGTAGACCAGTGAAAGTGATGGAACGCCTCTATCAGATGCTCTGTGGATACGGTAAGCACACTGACACGTTAAGTCAGTCAAAGTGTTTCCGTACCCTTCTCGTTACCGTCCCCTAAAAATAATACAGAAACGGCATGATTTGTACCTGGCGTGGTCCTTATTGACTTCGAATCTTTTTGGTAGCTGAGATGCCCAGCCGCCGTGCATACACCATGATAATCTGGACTATGACCATTGGCGTGTGTTTGAAGATGGTAAATGGTGGAATTATTTCCCAACGGAAATGGATTTCAAGCTCGCCTGCATAGAACACTGAGGGCCAGAGGCTACTCAATAAGTGACTTCTAGAATGAAGAGACCAGCAGACACAGAAGCGGTCGCAAGATTAATATTCTCCGGTGTCGAGTCGCATACCAACAGGATGAGATCAGCTACAATGTCAACAAACTTTTAACTCCCCGTGGCAATGACATCGGATTGTTCACAAAAAGATTCAGGGAAGAGCCCGAGATCTGGGCAGCAGAAATCACATGTACGAACTCAAGATCAGTTTTATAGATGAAACAGACGTCCGTTGCCGAAGAACTCATAGAAGTGAATTAGGAAGTGTGCCGACGTCCTAGCTTCGACAACCAGGCCAGAATTCGAGTCCTGAAGACGTCTAAAAAGGCAGTAGACGTGCGGAACTATGCAGCTCATATCGATGTTTCGGAACATTGCAATTACTTGTTAACTCGGATAAATCCTGCAGCGATTCATAGAGACTCGGGTACAACAATCAGTGCGGTAGCATGGCGTCACCTGGGAATGCATAATAAACAAAGAACACCGAAGCGCGTACTTTTGAAACCGCATATTATGGATCGGCCCATCGATCAGGGATGAGGTTCAGCAAGGTTCTGCGGCATACGAACAGCCCAACGAGTATTGGCTACGGAGTGCGACAAACCGGCACATCGGTCGCACTCGATTGAAAGCTGTAAACCTGTTAGGATGGTTGGGTTCCTGTGCTGCAATGAATCTGAGGGCTATATTGGTTAGAACTCGATTTCCCAAGGTTAAACTATGCCAGGAAGACCAACCCAATTGGCCTGACGAAGAGGAGCGAGTCCGACCTGCTTAGAATCCGTATAACGAGGCGAACTGGAGGTAAAGTCGTACCTTTCTCTGCTATACCAGTGTAAAGGAAACAAGGCGGTTCTATCGGGCGACCAGCATGTCTATACTTACGAAAGCAGTGATGCTGCCTTCCTTTGAAGAAGGACGGGTTAGAAAAGCTCGGTCATGGAAAATGGAAATGCACGTGTGTTTCCCGCCAACCATCGATGCCTTGCAATTTGACTTTTGAGCCAAAGGCTTTGGATGAGAGCCCTAAATACCGTCTTGTTCAGTATCTCGACCGATTGACAACCATAAATTGCACACATACACGTAACCTCATTTCACATTAGCCGTCGCGTGTTACCCTCAGCTCAGTGGCTGAGGCGTCAGCTTACGGACCGGAAGGTCCGTGGTTCGAACCCGACCTCAGCCTCCCAACTGCTCCAGTCTAGGCTTGCGCAACCTGGCAATATCCCTTGTGCTTCATTCCGTCGGCATGGCATCTAGGCTTCAATAAGATGCTACAGCTGAACGATTGACTGATTAAGATCAGCCGGGCATACAGCAGGGCAGGTAAGTGAAAACAGGTTACTGTTGACGCCTCCCCTCTTTCTATTTCATGTGCTTTTTTCTTCCCCAAGGAGCACAACAAGCTGATCATGCCCTAACATTGGACTTGCTTGAATTGATGTGTGTTGTGCTTCGGAAACAAGAATTCAAGATACAAGCACCGTGATTGAGTTAACATCCTGTCACTCTCCAGTCGTTTCCGGCTGCGCACCCTCGACAATCCAGAGGCTGCTGTAACGGGATGCGCAGGGGTCGGTGCCATCATAAGTCATCGAGCGGAAGGATTTTCGCTCGACCGGATACCCACTGATAGTCACCTGCGTGCGGTTCGTCTGGCAACGCCTGTGAAGCGCCCTCACAAGGTGTTCATGTCTGCTTACGCCTCAAACGACTGTAGGTCTGACACCATTAAAAGGCAAGTTCTATGAAAACCTGAATGCCCTGTTTCGGCGAGCCAGAAGCTCATATATCGTTGTGGCTGCCGGAGATATGAATCAACGAGTGTGCAGGCTTAGCGCATCTGAGACTCGAATAGGTGATCGACATGGACTGGACCCTGTACGAAAGGATACTGCCGAACAATTGCTTCAACTGCATGCTGACCGCAGGCTGTTTTTCTGTAGTACTAACTTCCGAACTAGCCGAAATCATCTGGCCACCCAGCGTCCTTTTAACGGAGTGTCAACTAAGAGCTCAAACTGGTCACATTGCAATCAGATACCGATGGCGCGGATGAATAACTGACTGCCGCTCGTTTTGGAAGATATTTGCGGATTCCTAAGGCGCTCTTCTCGGGGGTCACTTCTGCCTTTGTTTCCCGTGACCGCGTAAGGTGTGACTGCCTATCAAGTGAGAGAATGGCAGATCCGGATGTTAGACATCAACCTTACTCCCTTCCAACTGCTCCACTACCGTGTGTGGATTCACGTTGGAAGGAAATCGCAACTAGTGCACGGTACTGAGTTTTGTTTTCGGCACAGCTCTACAAGGCATGCTCATTTACCGGATATAAGACTGAATAATGGCACTACTTAAACCTCGGAGGAATACCCCCACCGATCCCAAACATAGTTTGGCCCGACGAATTATCAGACGTCACTGGAAAGTGAAGTGCGCACCGACCTTAAACTTGGTCAGCCGGGAGAGCTAAGGAAATGGGAGAGGCGCAAAAAACTGACAAAATATTTTTAAAAATCGCCCAGCGGTAGCGCCCTTCGGTGCCTAACTGCCATGCCACCCGACGGTTACATGAGCCGGGATACAGTCAGGTTGCCCAAGCTTAGACGGGAGAAGTCGAGGGGCCGAGGTCGGGTCCGAACCACGGACCTTCCAGTCAGCAAATTCGTGCCCAAACTACTTGGACTGTAGTATACGCTGTCTGTCAGTTTGATTGATTCATACGTAAGTATTGGTAATGTACAACCTTGCTTACTGGGCTTTGGCTCACGAGCTTTGTTTCTGTTTTCCATCCACAGAAATTGTCGTGAACACCTGCCTTCGGAGAATCACTGTCCCCTGGTGCTTCCATAGCGTGCATATTACAGGACTATCTCGCCCGGAGACCATTGCATATGTTACATGCGACCGGCCCCCAGAAACCACTTATGGGTGGATTTATCAAAGAGAAAAATGGAACGATCATCCAATAGTAACAGGAGGCCAACCATCTCTAATACCCGAACATCCGTCTGGACGAATGCATCGCGTGTAAGCTATGGACCAAATGAAGGCATACCCTGATTGGCCAGAATACCAGCCAATCTAGATCGAGTATTATCAGCTCGAGGATTCTCGCTCCCTCACGGAGATTCCAGCATGACTTTGTGGAACATTCTGTGCTAACCGTTGTGATAACAGTTTCAGCAATCCCATGCATATCCATAAGGGGCTGTCTGGAGCTACAGTAGCTTTCGGTATATCATAGTGAGTGGAGCAGGAAGCCCTGAAAGTTGCGTGACTATTCGGCAAGTTACAACAAATAGTGGACCAAGCACTTCGAACAACTATCGCTGCCACTCACTTGGAACTTGTGGCTGACGTTTAACCCTGGACAGTGAATGTAGAGCACTCTACGGCCCCGGGGTATATGGATGAACATATACCTTAAGCGTCAGCGGTCTTAGGATCTGGATGACCCACCACCCGCATCGTTCAAAGATGGGAGTGGGATCGTAAGCCCTTCGCGCACCTTTGGGAGCAAGAGACTGTCCCAGAAAACTGGGAAGAAGCGGTGAAAATACCTATTTTCAAAAAAGGGCCCCTAACCACATGGTGACGAGCTTTAACCCAGTCGTAACCAGACTGCTGGCGACGCGTTATGGTGGCTCGTGAAACACTGACACGAGAGCGGTAAGCGGGACTCATGCCTTGGAAGGGTTGCGCAGACCAAATCCTTACACTCCGTGAGGGGCTAGAGTCACGTGCAAACAACCCTAAATTAATAGATTTCCAAGTCACATTCGACTCGGTTGACACGCTTTCCCAGGAAGGGATGCAGTAGAATTTCGCGATCATGATATGTTTTTCGTATTATAAGACTTCAGAGTGCGTAACAATGCACTGTGAGCTTTCGAAAATCTTCCATGCCCGACCTGGTGTCCGCCCACTGCCGACTGCCTTCATTTTCCTTCAATTTTATGATCGGCGAGGTACTAAAGAACGTTCAGCTGTAACACCCTTCCGGTCCCTAGCTGCGAGGCCACCCGAAAGAAACCTGAGGGCTGGGATACCGCCGGGTTTTCCGAGCCTAAAACCAGCAGTCGAGAGGTAGAGGTCGAGTTCGAACCTTCCAGTCGGTAAGTTCTCATTCTATCCACTGGGCAATCTAACCGTAACAAGGGAGTGACACGAGCGATGGAACATCTTCAGTACCCCGGTGTTTAAACGGATGCTGGCAAAAACCCATAGATCCGGAATATGTAGGCGACATAACCCTGATCTTCAAAGAGCAAAAAATCACTGGCCTTTTTTGGTGAACTGACCAGAGTGGTTTGCAGTTTGCACCCAATGAGTGTAAGTTCATGTAAGGTCATGGACAGACAGTCACTGAACATGACACTTAGAATCCAGAGCCAGGAACTCTAAATTATGGGGCCTTTTGTGTACCTTGGGAAGTATCATTTCAGACTGTGGTGTAGCAGAATGGGTCAATGAACGAGTCTAAAAAGCCCGAATCGCTTTTGCCAATTTGATACTCCTATGGCGTAAAAGTGGTGTATCCCTGAATCTTAAGGGACATGTGTCGGGTTATGTAGAGGATGTTTTGCTGTACGGCTATAAGACTTGGCTAGCCGCAGCAGCATAACTAAGACGCCTCTAGGTGCCCGATAACATCTGTTTCGGAAACAGAGCTCGTGTGTGTTGATGTCGGTGAATTCGTAACAAGGCATTTAGAAAGCAAGTGTTTGGTTGTGCAACGGAAACTTACACCGAAGAATATGTCCGGCGCCAGAAGCCGCGTAGGTTAAGCCATGCATTGTTCATGCTGATCCTTTGCTTGTTGTTGTGTTGTGGCGTTGTGTTATTCAAGCTCAATCCACACTGGCTGAAGCAAAGTTGGTCAATCGTTGATTTAGCACAGCGAAACAAACGAGATTACGGAAAGCCTTGCTGCTGTCGCGGAACTCGCTTTTTATGGTGGGAACCTGACGAGACAGCGACGGAGCTGCAGCCTTTTGGCGTCACACAGGGACACATCCACACCTGGTACGAAGGCCGCAGTTTTATGCAAGCTTCCTCAGAAATTTGTATTGATGGGGTCTGGAATGCCAACTTACATTTTGGTTTATTGGACAATGCCTTGCATGACCATACCTCATAGAGCCGACCGTAAAAGGTTCAGGCGTGTTCAGCGTCTCTGTCACCGTAGTAATTTGCAAGATGACTGAATTGAATTAGTGTACCACGTAATCCATTACTTCACATTGTAAAGTTCCCAGTTTTCTTTGTTGGGTTTCGCCAATTCATTTCCAATTTAGCATTTAGGGATGGCGAGTTGTTGCTGAAATGTGTTTTATTTGGTTTGTTTTCAGAAACCGTTGAAAACCTGCCCTGGACAAGGCCGGGGTGTCATCAAAAACAATCATGTAAAGCAAACCGTGCGACGCAAAAGTGCCGCGTAGTGTAGACACGGTAGACACACTATTTGCAGTTCTACTGGACATAACTTCCATCCGTTTGAAATAACCTTCGATTATCATGGATATCACGTGTCTATCGACAGGACATCAATAGTGCACAAGCACAGGGTTCCACGGTGGTCATGGCCACTGTCATGGTGAAATTAATGCTGCTGCAAAGCTCCATTTTCCTGCCACGCAAAAATTTGCTGCAACATTATTTTTATATCATAAATGATACCAGACCACCGGCCGAAGTGTCAGACTAAAGCCCATTATCAACGTGTTACCTGGAGGACCCGGATGTAATCCCCGTGAGCTTTTAGACCATTAGCTTCCTTGAATGATCACTCTTGCAATCCATCGTAAACACCCATCTTCTAAACTTCGTTCGGGTGAACAACGCTTGGTGTACTTTCGACATCCTTCGATTCCCGTACGAAGTAAAACGAAGCACTTGTGATAATTCTTCGTACTTTTGTCTTTCTCGTGTTCCTGCGGCATTAATAAGTAAATCATCAATGCAGCTGATTGGGTCTGCCATCCCAAATGTATTTCAGTGTGCGAAATAGCACATCCCTAAAGGGTGAGTGAAGTGCCACTTTGCCATGAACTTCGCTTGCCTAGAAGAGTGCCGCATTTTTGTTGATGTCATTTAGAAGTATTGATCTGTTTTTTAAGCGTCCTAACTGTGGGCTTGCAGAACGAAAGGCTGTGCCGGAAACGTGTTACTCCGAATAAAACCACTACTGTCTCACTGTCGGCTTGTGCATAATTAATCTCTGCAGGTTACACTGATAATAATAATGTATATT